CCAGGGTTTGGTAGAGTAGTAAAACCTATTAAAGCAGCTATTAGTTATTATTTCAACTTTTTACTTAAAGATGTGGGTCTGACTTACTATTCAGTAAATTATAAGAATTCAGAACACTGTGATCATTTATGAATGCTAAAAATTATTTGATAAATTATCATATTCCTGAAGAGGGTAAATTCAAAAGTTACTTCCTTTTGCTTAAGTATCATATTTATTTCCATTTTGCTTTGTTCACCACTAAATAGTGCCTGGCACATAGTAAGTACTTAAACATTTGTTGAAATAATTTACTATTGACTGACTATGTGGGGTATGGCACACTGAAGGAGAAAGAAGTACTGTACGGAGTACAAATTCACCAACGTATATAGACAACATGCTCCATCCCCACCCCAATCTTTCAGCCCCACTAAAAAAGACATCAGTCAGGGACAAGGGTTTGGGCCAGATATGATTCCTGACTAAAGATGGCAGAAATCCAAGAACCTTAACTGGCCACTGAGGTGCCACTCAGATGCACTGAACCTGGCTTCCCTAGAAAGAAAGCAAATCAGCTCTGCTCTCCTCCCCTGGGGCAGACGAATACCTAAGGCCAAGGAAGAAGACCAGCCAGATAGGAGATTACAGAGAGGAAAGACAAAAGTTCAGCGAAAAAACCAAGATACTACTTTCCAAACAGAAAACACCATTTGTGAAAGTAATAACTAACATCAACGATGTTTATAAATCCCTGTATTTTTCTGAAAGGAGTTAGCTCCTAGGCCCAGGAGAGGAAAAGACAGAAAAAGTATTGTTCCTATGGAAATTTACTAGAAACCGGCAAGAGGAAAGTTAAGCTGAATGCCCATCTAACTCCCTTTTTTCATTCATCAGCTAATCATGTCATTAATAAAAATGAGGTACTACCTGAAAATATCTAGAAAGTCTATTGATCAGCAATGGGAAAAAAGTCCTAGAAACTTTCAAGGAATTTTCTACCTACTCTAGACTTTCTGAAATAGAAGAAGGATCATTACTTTAAAATGATAATGAGGTAAATTTAATAAGAGCAACACAGAGCATGACACCTAATTATCTTGACAATTTTTTAAAATATTTTTTAATAGCATGGTTCTCTGCTGTTTGTGATAAGCTAGCAGCAGTACTCTCTCTCACAGTGGCCAAATAACCAGTAGCCTTACAAATTTTTTAATAGCATGGTTCTCTGCTGTTTGTGATAAGCTAGCAGCAGTACTCTCTCTCACAGGGGCCAAATAACCAGTAGCCTTACAAAAAAAAAAAAGATATGCAATTTTTGGTATTTCTTACTATAGTTATGAGATTAGAATGGTGACTTCTGGTTTGCAGAAAAATATTAGGCAGCAGTCTTTGGTCACTATTTGGAGGAAATACCATTTCTGAGATTTCAAAAACACCACTACCATCAACAAGAAAAACTCTTAAAAGAATTAAAGAATCAGCTGATGCCAAGGAGGTCCAAACCAGTTAAAGTTAATTTTACATTATCCCCGCATGCCAAATCCACAAAGCTAACAATTTTAATACCTTGGGTACATGAGGAATACCCTACAGGTCTATAAGCAACTCAATCCAAAAGCAAACCAGAGGACACAGAAACCCACTCATTCCTTGCATGCTCCCTTTCACCTCCTCAGCATGCAGGCTTCCAAGAGGAGTGGAATAAACACGTAGTTTCTAGAGCAAGGAAATCTGCCGTGCCTCAAACCTTCTGGGAGACATGGAAACCAGGTATGCATAGGGTTTCCATACCT